CCATGAGGCAGTCATAGATGACCACGATGGTGGCCACCAGGCCCGTAATCTGCAGCGAGGTTTTGGCAGGCTCCGAGCCGTCAATGGAGGATCGACGCTTGCCCTGTGTATCCTCCACCACGATGGTGGGCACAGTGAAGGCACGGCGGTCAGCCCGGCGCCCCACCTGCGTGGCTAGTGTCTGGAAGAGGGCAATGGCTGTGCAGACCACGCCCATGGCCACGCTGCCACCCACCAGTAGCAAGAAGCAGACTCCGAAGCCAAGGCCGATCTCAGCCACGATGAAGCGGCAGCCGTGGGTGTAGAAACGCTCACTGGTGTCGTGCCAGCCAACGGCAGGAAGGGCCGACAGGATGAAGGACACCATCCAGATGCCCATCACTGTGTGCACCGCCTGCTTCTTGGCATTGCTCAGCCTGGCATGGGGCAGGGCAGGATAGAGAATCCTGGTGTTACTCACCGACCTCTGAGGGACCACAGAGGGTCCTGACCACCCTTCCCCGCTGACACTGCAGTCTCCGCCCAGCCGCACAGCTGGCCTTGCCCCTCAGTGGAAAGCCATTCACACACCTGACCCTCTTCAGGCATTTCTGCCCTGTGACACTCACTCACCTTGTACAAACACGCCCTGTGACACTCACCTTCTACAAACACGCCCCTAGCAGGCCTGACCGTGCCGACCCTCAACCTCCTCACCCATCCTGGCATAGCGCGGCCACATACACAGACACACCACACGCACTGTCTCGCGCTCACCGATAGTTGACGGGCCAGCGGACCATCCACATGCGGTGGTAGGAGATGGAGGTGACAGAGAAACAGGTGGCCAGAGTGAGGGTGTAGAAGGTGGACACAAAGACCTTACAGAGGCCTTCGTTCCACTCGTAGTCGGGCCGCTGCCTCCGGAGCTGCACCACAGCATACGTGGCAATGGGGACCGCCACGTTGAGCATGTGGGTGGCTGCCAGGGTGCAAAGCAGGAACTCCAGTGGCTTCCACTTCCTCTGCTTGGCACCCACACTGAGGATGCCCCAGGCATTGGCTAGCAACGACAGGCCTCCACACGCCAGCCAGCCTACCGCACTGCCAGGCAGCCGCCGCTCATCACTCATGGTGCAGATCGGAGCTGGCGAGTGGCTGTGGCATCCTCCTCCTCCTCCTCCTCCTCCTCCTCCTCCTCCTCCTCCTCACCGTGCAGCAGCTCTCACGTGGGGGGGCTCGGTGAGGGAGGCCAGGGTCGAAGAGCAGCTGGGGAGGGAGCGATGAGCACTCAGTGAGAGATCAGAGGACAGCAAGCCGGGCACTCTCGGATGGGAGACCTGAGTGGGCGTGGCTTACACCCGGCTGCTGTGTCTCAGAAGAATCTATTACTTACCGGGCGGGAGGCCCAAGGGTGGTATACAGGGTAAGTGCACACTCCCGCATTTCCACTCACTTCTGACCATCTGAGTCTCCTTTTCCCCCTTTCTTTTTAATATTTATTTTATGTACTTGTGTGTGCCTGATAGTTAAGTATGTGCACCATGTGTATGCAGGGCCTCCAGAGCCCAGCAGAGGGCATCAGATCCCCTGGAAGTGGAGTTACAGGCAGCTGTAAGCCACTTGATGAGGGTGCTGGGAACTGAACCCAGGTCCTCTGGAAGAGCAACAAGTGTTCTTAACAGTTGAGCCATCTCTCCAGCCCAGAATCTGAGGCCACCTGTTCACTTACAGTCTCAGGCCAGGCTGGGCCCATATGGACTGTCTCTCTTTGGATTTATTCATTTTATACCATATGAAATGTTTTGCCTGTGTACCACATGTGTTCCTAGACCAGAAGAGGGTGCTGGGTCCCCTGGAACCGGAGTTACAGATGGTTGTGTGTGGTGATACATTGTGTACTCTAATAAACTTGCCAGAGGATCAGAGGACAGAGCCAGCCACTAGATTAGACACAGAGGCCAGGCAGTGATGGCACACACCCTTAATCTTATCCCTCAGGAGGCAGAGATCTGTCTGGATCTCTGTGAGTTCAAGGCCACACTGGAAACAGAGCCAGGCAGTGTTGGCACACACACACACACACACACACACACACACCTTTAATCCCAGTACTGGGAAGCACACACGTCTTTAATCCCAGGAAGTGACATGGCTGGGTGGAGAAAGGTAGATAAGGGTGAGGAGACAGGAAGTAAAGCAGCTCAGCTGAGACCCTTCCGGGTGAGGACTCAGGGGCTTTCAGTCTGGGGATCCGTGGAGTTGGTGAGGTAACAGGTGGTGGCTGTGGCTTGCTCTGCTTCTCTGATCTTTCAGCTTTCACCCCGATATCTGGCTCTGGGTTTTGTTTTTTGTTTTGTTTTTTATCAAAAGACCATCTAGATTGAACAACAGTTGTGAGCCACCATTTGGGTGCTGGGAACTGAACCTGAGCCCTCTGCAAGAGCAGAAAGTGCTCTTAACCACTGAGCCATCTCTCCATCCTCAGTCTGGGTTTCTAAGGGACAGGACTATGCAACCCTGGTGAGCCTGGGACTTGCCTCGTGGACCAGGTATGTCCCAGTTGTGTGTCACAGCAAGCCTTCTCACCATCATGTGTCCCCACATCGCCACACAGACATCCCAGGCACTTGGACCTTCGTTCATTCCAGCTCCCCGCATACCTCCCTCCCTTTGCCTTCTCTGATCCCCCAGGTGACCTGTGAGGTGGAGATGAGCTGGCCACCACTCTCACACCCACCCTGGAAGTGGGTCGACAATCTCTCATGGTGGGCACAGCCAGACTGTAACCAGACTGCATCACTAGTGGTGGGGCTCCACCTGAGGAGAGTTATGCTGCTTCTGTGGGGGAGCTAAGTGGATAGACAGCACATCTCTAAAGCCTAGGGCCCGGGTATCACACAGCGGATGCTGTGGAGGGACAGCAGCATGCCAGGAGCTAGGTCCCACACCCGGTGGGTACTATGAGGTAGTAGTTAGGACCATGTCCTGGGCCTGGATCTCACCTAGAGGGTTCTATGGGCTAGTGTTGGCCTGGAGTCACCCTGGAGCCCAGACCTTAACTGCCAGTTGCCTTCAGATGGGAGTGAGGGACACGGGATCCTAGGCAGGAGGTTAACCATGAGGGGAGAACCATACCCTAGTGGAAGGCTGATTCTAGACTGGCAGTCCCTTCCACCCCTCCCTCTACCAGCCTGTCGGCTCTTCCAGCTCCCTGTGCGGAGACTGCTTCATGGAACAGGCAGCTTGGGGAGGGTCCCCATGCCGAGGAGGCTACCTGCCGTCCTATTAGCTACTCAGGACTACCACACATCCAGCCTCACACAGCGCCTCCAGCTGGGGGCAGATGGGCAATTGCAGTCTTAACCAGGACTCCCAGCTCTCAGGCAGGGAAAACCAAGTTGTCCTGGCCAACTGAGCAGACATTCTCTGCTGGTCTTATCTACAATTTCTCTCCTTAAAAAAAAATTGTTTTGAGACAAGGTCACTCTATGTAGCCTTGGCTGTTCTGGAGCTTGCTCTGTAGCCCAGGCTGGCCTTAGACTTCCAGAGATCTGCCTGCCTCTGCCTCCCGAGTGCTGGCATCAAAGCACCACCCTCAGCTCTTGTCTATATAGTTTTCAGCCTGCTGTGGATTATTCTTCTCATTCGCTTTTGTGTGTCTGCCCCAGGCCTGCCCAGACTCTGACCCAGGGTTGGGTCTACTGTGGCCTGCTGCAGGAAGGGCAGTTTCTGCCCAAACATTTATTAGGTCCATGCTTGCAGAAACCAGTGTGGGCGGCAGGGTGGCCCTATCAGATTGTACCCTCCGCCACAGCGTCTGGGTCGGGCCAACCTCCTCAGCTGTAGACTAGAGGCTACCAGGTGAGTGTGTGTGTGTGTGTGTGTGTGTGAGAGAGAGAGAGAGAGAGAGAGAGAGAGAGAGAGAGAGAGAGAGGAGA